TTCCAGACAAATGATTACAATTTCATGGATTAAGCGAGTTCATACTGAGGTACACTTTACCTGTCACATCGTTCTGGATGTTCCAGTTGAAAGTTTTTTTTGGGTGCGGCAAGTTCTTCTAAACGAGGCGTGGATTTGGCTTTAACTGCAGCCTTTGTCAACGGTCGTATAAGACTCTGATTGGACCAGTTCACGGGCCTAAAAAAAATCATTCCAACTCGTGTGAAATATTTATAGAATTTAATAAGCCATCTTGAAAATCATGTGAGAATGATAAAGTGAAACCATATTCTTCATGGCTTGCAGATATGGGACAACTGATGACATTACAAAATGGTTGGATGTATGCAGTTTTTCATATCACGAGAGATTTCAAACAACTTTCGTAAGTCAACGAGACTTTGTGCACGTTTTTCATTTCCAGTTTTGACTTAATTAATTTGTAATTGTTTAAGTTTAGAATTAGATTTCAACAGTTTATCATTTACCGTATGCACAATTAATTAGACACAAGCATAAGAATGTCTAGTTTTCCTTCTTTTGCACTGATTGTTCTATAAATTATAAGCCATGTTTTGAAGGATGATTGCTGCGGTGAATCATTTATCCAGCTGAAACTGGACTGTCAATTGGTTACCATTCAGTCCCTTACCAATAACTAGTCATCCAGGAGGCTTTCGAAGTCTTTGGTCTTGCTAAATCATCTATTCTCGACCTAAAAAATAATAAAATACCCGCGTCTGAATAGTTTTACGTATTCCAATCATATATAAAGATGTAAGGGAATTTAGTGCTGACATCTATCATGTTAAACAGAAACAATTTCGATCCGTTTCATAAGAAAATAGACCTACATGGATTACGGCGGCTTTGACAATTGCTTTGACGCAGAGAAACTGGAACTGGCTATGTGCCTTGATAGGTCATGCGTTTAGAAATTTCCAAATTGTATCTTTGGATCAATTTCAAACTACAAGTTTACTAGATTTCTTTGTGCGCAGCAATTATAACTGTTTGCTTCATAAAAATGGTTCAAAGTTTTGAGCTTGCGAGAGGTTGCTATGGTTGCCGCCAAGGTTTGATGGTAAGGTCAGAGACAGAAAATGTAAGTCAATCCTGCTACTGTGACGCGATGACAGTACATACTATACAAATGCAAACATCACTTTGTTACCTTCACATGAGGAGATGTACACTTCAGCAGCTAGTATACATTGCAATGTAATTTTATGAGGGTGTCGGCCAAGATCGGGCAAACACAGGCTGGCACGTGCACCTCTCCCAAGGACAAGAGTTTGATCGAAATCAGTCAAGGAAAGTGCAAGAATTAAGACAAATTTGACAAGCTCCAGTTTATTTTCAATGTTATTCCGGCAAAAAATAAGAAAACTTTCCTGGACCCTAATAATAAATTCAATTCATCATCTTGGTTACGTCACAGCGGCCATCTTGGAGGAATTAACTTTAACAAAAGTTTTTTGTTGTGCATTCCTCCAACATGGCCGCCGGTCTTCTATCTTTTTGAATCTCATGTGAATGGTTGAAAACGATGGCACGGGAGACTTTGGCATTAATTCACTCAATACCATTTGAGTACCTTTGAGTAATTATATATTGTATGTTTATATTTCCTGGAGACGCCATTATAGTGCGTTATTTTACAGCACTAGCCTCTCTCACAGGTGTTCTTAGTCTCGCACGAAAATTCACTCGTGTGAATTTTCGTGGCGAGACTAAGAACGCCTGTGAGAGAGGCTATTACAGGCACGGGCCATTTTCGCCTTATACCGCTATCTTCAACGTCTTGTACCTCAAAAAAGGAAATTTTATCCTCCATTTTTCTATTCCATTTTAAAAATATCATATAAATACGATATAATGAAATAGCTTTTACAAAGTTTTACAAAAATGACGTTAGAAGGCATCCACCCAGTAACAAAAAGAACCAGTCGGTGCACTATATTGTTTGCTCTGCAATTTTTCAGGTTACAGGGTCTCAATGTCGGTAGTCAGTTAAAATTTCGAGCATTTGTCGGTAGTCAGTTAAAATTCTAGGCATTTGTCGGTAGTCGGTTATTTAAAAAAAGTTGATAAACATTAAAGTTTGAATGCATCTAAAACGGTGCGTCATATCAACAGAATGCTTTCTAAAATGCCAACAGCAGACCTTGAGCCTTTGAGTCTTTGATTGGGAGGCAAAGTTTTATTGTGGCTAATCAAAACTTCAAGAAGCCAATCCGAAGAAAAATACAAAAAACTTGTATTCAAGGAGCTAATATCTTAGAATATTGCCTAAAAATATTTATTTTAAGGAAAATGTCGCCAGTCAGTAAATATGTTTTGTCGGTATTCAGTAAATTTTGTTCAAATTTGTCGCTAGTCAGTTGTTATTTTGTCCATTTGTCGTTTGTCGGTTAACCCTTCAGACCCTGCTACTGCTACTACATACATCAGAGTGTCCTGTCTCTTCTTATTATTTAACTCGAAAGGAAAATGAAGAGAAAAAAAAGTAAGAAAAAGAGAAGAAAAGAAGATTATCAAACGAAAAAGAAGAAAAAAATTCCCACATCAGGACTCGAACTCGGGCGTTTAAACTGTGTGAAATATGCACCCCCCGGACATGCGAAAGATAATAAACAAAAAGGAAAGAAAACAAAATGAAAAAAGTTTGGGACGATTCCCCCGAGACATTCTATGAAGCTGAGGCGTCGAATCGGCTTACGTTACGGTTAGAGATTTCGGCTCTTCCACGCTATCCCGAGTGAACATAAAACTTAGTCTTAACCAAAAGGCCAGGGAGTGAGAGGGTAGCCGCCCACTAGAGCATACCTTTAGCTACCCTCTTAGACCATCGTACTATGAAGACACTTATAAATATCTAATATCTAATGACGTCACCAAAATCCCAAGGGTTTAGCCATCCAATCAAAGCGCAACTCCAAAATTATCATATGCACAGCAGTGTTCCAGTAGAGAGGGGGAGGGGGTGATGGACGAGAAAGGGGGGTTGGGGGCGAGGATGAGACCGCAATCGAGGCAATCGTTTCTATCGAGATTGATACAAATCTCGCAAGAATTAGAAATAATTCTTTATCAAGGTAGAATATTTAATTTTTTGTGTAACTTTGTTTGTTTGTTTGTTGTTGTTTTTTTAACTCTAATTGCAGTCAATCGAGTTTACGTTCGGCAGAAACATATCTCACGAAAATAAACTTGATTATAGTTATGCCCAGCGTATTAAAATGAAGCGAGGTATTTGAATGCAATCGCTTGCTTTATTAAGAACTTAAATTTTGACTTTAGGACGTGCAACTTTGTTGTTGTTGTTATTCATTGTCACAGTCTATCCTTTGGGCTTGCTGTGGCCTAGCGACGTTGAAACTCGCTCCAGTCTTCCTTCAAAACATAACAACTCCATCAACAGATCATGCTTTCATTATGAAAAATTTGCATTGATCCGATGATTATTCCCTTCATTTTCGCCTTTCTTGCCGGAGCATTTTCAGTACTGCTTGTACAAACGGTYCTCTTATACAAATGGTGGTCTTCGAAGGAGAAAGAGACTCCAAAATTGACCGTGGAAAGGTCGAAAGTCACCAACCCAAAGGTGGGACTGCACATTATGAATTTGTTGTGCTTGCTATATTTATATAGTGTAGCTTAAAGAATCAGTTATGTTTTTCATAAGATGTGATTAAAAATGTAAAGAATTAGAAAAAGTCTGCAATATGTATACACTTTCTCTAAACTATTATATGTTACGTAAGGTAGTCACAAATATAATTATTATCTAAACAATTCTGCTAATTAAGCTTAGATGTTCTTAACCATTAAGTTATAACTATATTATGTTGTTGATATTGTAGCTTTATGGAGGTGATATTAAGGGTTTTTGATAGAATATTTAAATTATAACGATGACTTTTTTCATTTAACATAAATTAAATGATCTACATGTAAGTTATATGTCAGCATTCATCTTTAGAAAAAAAAATTTTTTTTATTTATTTTGTATATCTTTTCTTGCTATTATTTAGTATCTTATATATCATATAGAATTTACTGAGTTCAGACAACTGTTCGCCAATGTTCCCTGAGTRAATAGGTTTCCAAGATGAATCCAGGCACAGGTGAAGGCCTGGTATCCACTTGACATAGTTGTCATGTAGTGTGCCAGCATCTGTGTGCATCCCCTCAAGCTTAAATACTCTATACCCCTTCTCAAGGAAAATCCTGTCAAAATTATTTGTGTATTAAAGCAGTCAATAACATAGAATGATGATGCACCAGAGTGAGTGACATGATGTCTGACAAAGCATGGTCAGAGGATTTGTAAGCTGGTCACAGGCTCATATTTTTTCTTGGTTATTAATACTCAGATATTGTACTTGCATAGTTTGTTTCAGATTTCTTGAAAGGTGAAGGAGCAACAAGGGAAGAATCATGCATGTTTTTGAATCTTCTGTTTTCCTTCCTATGGCAAGAATGGAGAGACAAGCCAAAAACCAAAGAATTCTTCATGAAAAGATTAAATATGGAATTTACAGACCTAGTGACTAACMGAGCTGCTGGAAAACTTATTGAACAAATTACTATATTAGACCTGGATTTAGGAACCTCTTTGCCTGTATTCAAAGGTACAGTATGGTTTTTGTCAATGACCATTTAATGTTAGATTTATGTCAAATTGAGGAGTCTAAGGATGCAGTTTGTGGTCTCTATGGTTTTGGTAGTCYTTTCAAATTTATAAAGAAGCCATACAATGCTAAATATACAAGTTTTCAATGTTCTATTGCTGAACTCTCTACATGTAGTTCGCCAGTCTTCCAGCTGTGGATTCAGACTGACTGGGTTGTCAATGATGTGTTCCACTTAAAATACATGTCATTTTTTGAAGACTTTATCTGCAGAGAAAGGGAAACTCCCCAGGGATGTGAAGAGGGGGTTCCAGCAGTTTCTGTGAACATTCATTCCTTAGCAGATAAAGCCATTGAAATAAAGGACATTATTAGTCAAGCCTGATGGTGTAACACCCTTTGTATTGTTATGGTTAGACTTGTTCCAAATCGCTTCTGTAACTTTTTGGAATAACACTTGGTTTAGGAAATTTCATTGCTCAATAGTAAAGAGTGAAAAACTTGGAGCAAGTCTAGGCCATTGTAAACAAGCTGATAATAGCAGCAACTTGATTCCAAATGATTGTTATTTTTTGTGTTTCAAGGAGCCACAATAATGAAAATTCATCCTGTAAAAGATCCAAGAGACATTCCCAAAGAATTAGATATTGCACTAGAATTAGAATATACAGGTGGATGTCATATGGCCATACAAGTGGACTTTCCTTTTAGTAAGACTGCSTATTTCTCTGTTAAGCTTGCAAGTCTTAAGGGACGAGGAAGACTTCAGTTTAGTACAATCCCATGTACACATTGGTCCTTTTCTTTTTATCAGGTAAAAATGTGGATATTTTAAAAGTTGTTTCTTCATGAAAGTGTTGTCTTAATGCACATGTTTTGGCTATCAACAAATTGACGCTATTTAGTGAAAACACTTTTTGTGCTACTGTAAGTTAAGACAGTCACAGGAAATGTTTTGGAATGTTAAGCAACCAATACTACATGTAGACAGTTACCAGGACTGTGGAGTATACATATTTGGTTGAGGGGACAACAACCACCTACAAAGCTGGATCAAGTAGAAGGAGTGATGAATTTTTGGAATTTTGAACCTCAAAAAAGCGATTTCCCAACATATTTTTAGGGGTTTCTAGAAAAAAAACATTTTATGCGCCAGTGAATCTTAGATGTATTAAAATGTTACTTGATATTGCCAAAMGGTATCAGTAGAGGGGTCAAAAATATAACATTTTATTAAATTTATGAAAATTATTGGAGGAGCTAAAGCCTCCTGGCTACCCTACCCCACAGTCCTTGAGTAACTGTGTCTACCATATTTGGTTACTCCAATTTCAAAGAGACTATGACATTTAAATGTTTTGGTAGTCCTTTTATTACTTCTACTGTTTAAGTCAGTGTGGAATATCTAATATCAGTAGTGGCCCACTCTTTTATGTCACTTTGGTATCATTTAGGGCATGCAAATACCAATTTACAATAAAATCTTCTCTATTCCAGGAACCAGACATGGAATTCCAAGCCGAGTCACATGTTGAAGGAAAAAACATTGAGCAGCTAACATCTCTAATAGTTAATCATCTTCGGCGAACTATCAGCAGAAAACACACTCTTCCSAGATATAAAATAAGATATTTACCATTCTTCCAAAAATTAGAACCTCAAGATGAAAAACAATCTATTTATGTACATGATAGTGTAATAACTATAGGGCACCTTGAGGTTAAAGTTAATGGTTGCTATCGTTTACCTGATATTGAGGGAAGCACTGGATTGTATTGTGCTTTGTCAGTGGATGCATTACCATGGAAACAACTAGCTGAGAATAGTAGAGCTTTGTGGACAACATTTGAGGTAAGCTTTGAGTCAGTCATATGAGGTGTATAAAAAGTGTTTGAAATTATATAATACTATTATATTAAGTTGTAAAATAAACCACTCTCGTGAGTATGCTGCACCCTGAGCAGTTTTGAGGGGAAAAAGGCACTTCTTAATATACACTATTGTTCAAGGCAGGATCAATTATMTTAAACATACATTTGTCTAGTGTTAAAATAGTGTTTAGAAGGTACATTMCAGGCTGCCCATCAAGGTTAATAGCCTTGCAATAATTAGTCATTGTTTTGACAGAGCAACCAAAGTAATCAACAGAGAGAGTTTTGATCAAAATTTCAGTATGACTGTGTACAGTCAATTTTATTTGAAATTATCTAAAAGATGCTTTTATGTTTAAATGATAAGCTGTCTAACATGAGATTCAAATAAAGTGTGCAACCTCACCACTTGCCATAATTGGATCCATCCATTTATCGACTGATTTTGTTCAACCAGCTATCTCCTTATTTTCCCYYCAATATTTTCAGGTYGAAATAACTAGAGAAAGCACCACAGCATCATTTGGTATGACTCTAAGCAAGGAATATGGAGGRTCTGACATTGATAAGGTTGTATTTGTAGAAACCATTATACCATCATCACCTGCTGAATTAGCTGGACTACAGAGAGGTGATGTTATTGTTTCAGTGGAAGGACAGAGAATAGACTCACTTAAACAAGCAGCAAAGATGATCAAAAATAAAACCAAGTAATTAATACTAACATAAATTTTTAAGAAATATTTTACTTACAGTACATTTTGAATGATATGGAGAGAGATGTGGGAAACCTGCAAATTGAATGTGAATACTGTTTTGTATTTTCAAAATCCACAGTTTTTATTATAATAGTTATGTCAATAGACTGATTCCATAAGYCGTAGCATTCGCTCCTCGATTTTTCGGTTTTTCACTCAAACTAGTGGACCTGTGAGCGGAAAAAAAAAAAAAAATCGACAGAGAGAGAACTGGTACTCGACTTATGGAATCAGTCTATTATGTCAATAGCAAAAAAATATTTTTTTAAGATGGGCTATTTTGATAACTCATTCAAATGAGTTTGATGAATTACTTTTATATATGAATTATTCATTTAGAGGTTTTCATTCAGATTTACTGCAAACTTCCAACGGCCTCCAAATAARCTGCAAAGCAAGACTGACCAACAAGATGGCTTTGATGAAAGTGCAGTAGACTTCAAGAACGTTGCTGTAGACAGCGATGAGAATGACTCTGATGAAGAATTTGTCAATATTATGATTCCGTTAATTGGAGAGCAAGCAACCAATGAAGCAAAAACAGCAATGAGAGATTACTTGACAAGAAGTGCAGAATTACGGCAACGATCACGGAAAGGTAAACTAAGTCCTTTCTTTTGGTGAATTTGTACTTTTAGAGAACTTCCTTTGTAATACTGAAGCAGAACTATAAGGAGGACACATGGTAATCACCCAGTCTTGGGGAGTAGCTTAGTGGGAAAGATATCAGATTATTTGGTCAACAGAGTGGCCGAAAATCACCAAACATTGCAGTCATTCATAGTCCACCACTAGGCACCAATCATGCAGAGCAGGGAGCATGAAGTATACCCGTACTTGMCCCTCTTATTTCAATATTTTCAATGCAGGACATTCTAAAGCAACAACTCCAACAAGTCCTGTTCCAGAAAGCAAAAAGACATTCAAGCTGAATACAGAGACRGCAAGGTACCTAGTGTTGTATTTAATAAAGGAAACTTATTAGCAGACTGAGGGAATATTATGTGCTATATGATAATTTAACTCTTCGTCAATTGTACAATTTTCTTACTCTCCACATGGCATAATCTCAATCTAGACATTTTTCTATCCACCCCTAGTCAGTATTTGTTGTTGTCTAGAAACTCTAAGCCTGTCAGTCAAGYTGATGGAAAGTCTGAAGCCAATRCAACTGAAACAYCACAAACAAAGCCATTAAGTCCTGTTAGAAGTAGAAGTGTTGGTACAAAGCCTACCAAACCAAGTRTGTCCAGTGATGAGACCAGTAAAAGTAGTCTTGTAATAAAACCCTCTACATACTGTGAACGTCCAGGCACAAAGAGGACCAAAGAAGTATCTCCCAGTCAGGTATCAAAATTTGTTTTGGGCCTTTTAAACCAATTTTATAAGTGCCTAGCATTGATTTCATAATGACAATATTGTCATTRAATTATTGTCATAATATGAAAGAACTATCAAAAATAGATATTTGTGGAAAGTTTTGAAGCTATCCATGACAAAATGCTAAAAAAGTTATTGAAGTATGAATTTACAAGGATTTGTATGAAATTCTTTGCTGAGGCCTTGGTAGCCCAGTGGTTCTGGTGTTTTTCTGCCTCTTCTAAAACCTATAAAACGAGAATTATACAGAGTTCATTTTTGTCCTAATGCTTTAGTGATTTAAAACCACTGGTTTTTTTTTCAAAGGAGCCTTCCTGGAATGAAAGTGTCAGGTTTGATTTGGGTCCAAAAGACATGTACCTGAATGTATGTGTTTGGAGCAAACACCAGGAAAAAAATGACAAAGATATTCTTATTGGACATGTAAGTATAATAACAACAGTAATCATGATGTGTAACCTTTGTGCCAAGATTCAGATACTGTCATTTATATCATTTACAAAAAACATGATTTTTTATGAACGTCTAAAAATAGAGTACTAAAGTGATGACGTCACAAAACGAAAATGTTTGAGTTTTGAAATTTGCCCTCCATAATCTGAAAGTGYATCATTTTTAATGCATCCTTGCTAAATATGAGTGTCTTAGTGTCATTTGTAGCAGAGATACTGTACAAGCGATTTTATGGTCGGGTGACCACATACAAATGCTTGTAAATTTGGTCTTGTTCATAACGAAAACGACCATAAAATCGCTTGTATCTCCGCCACAAATGGCACTAGGACACTGAAATTTGGTAGATATCTCCTTTTTTCCATGCACTTTAAGGATATGTCAACGAATCCGAAAAATTCGAAAAAAAAATATTTCTGTGACCTCACACTTTAGTACTCTATAACCATAATATTATAAGATTTCAATATCAATTGCACTTTTATTTATTTCCAGATAACAGTTCCACTAATGGATATTGCAGTACAGTGTCTTACTCTTGGYGAAAGGCGACACCATCAGACATATGTTTTAGTTTCTCCTCACATAGACAGGATTATATCAAGGTGGGTAACTGCYRAGAGACAGTATATTGGTATACAAAMWGTTTTTATAATGCAGGGACAGCATATCAATGCTTACATGTATGTACGTTCATAGTCATATATGCTTGTTTATCAAGACGT